TCATCATCATTATCATCATCAACATCACCATCACCATCACCATCACCATCACCATCATCATCATCACCATCACCATCACCATCACCATCACCAACACCATCATGATCACCATCACCCTCACTATCACCCTCACCATCACCAACATCACCATCACCAGCATCAGCATCAGCATCAGCATCAGCATCACCATCAGCATCACCATAACCATCATCTTTTCATCACCACCACCATCATCATCAGCATCACCATCACCATCAACATCAGCAGCAGCATCACCATCACCATCACCAGCATCACCATCACCATCACCACCACCACCACCATCCCCATGTCCATCACCAGCATCACCATAACCATCACCAACATCACCATCACCATGACCATGACCATCACCACCACCACCACCATCATCATCATCATCATCACCATTTCCATCCACATCACCATCACCATCACCATCACCATAACCGTCACCATCACCATCACTACCACCACCACCATCACAATCTCCATCTGCATCACAATCACCATCACCAACATCACTGTCACCATCATCATCACCACCACCACCATCATAATCATCATGTATAATAGATGTGTGAAAAAAACAATGCAGAAAAAACGACGTTTGGTGCCCGTAAAATCGGAAATAAAAAATTTTTGTGGCTAATTCGTAGTTAATTAGCTATGTGTTTTTTTATTTTCGATTTTTCGGCGACCAAATGTCGTTTTTTCTTTGTTTTTTTCACACTTCTATTAACTATTCGTGTCTTAAATATGTAAGAAAATTTATCCAAAAAAAAGATTCGAATATTGAATAATAATAATAATAATAATAATAATAATAATAATAGTAATAATAGTAATAATGGAAATAATAATAATTATTATTATTATAACTATAATAGAATTAATAATAATAATAATAATAATAATAATAATAATAATAACGGAATTATAAGTGGCCAAAAATTATTGTAGACAAGGATAGAATAGATGAGGCATTCCCGGCTGGATGGTATTGTCGTTGGTTATATCTATTGAAGACGCAGGATCATGTCCCACCACCCCCATTTTTTTTAATTTTTTTGGCATTTTGGAGTTTAGGGTTTCAATACTTTTGTCCGCCTCCATTTAGAGGGATCCATCTACGAATTTTTTCATTCTCCCGCTTCTCTCTATCTCCCTCACGATTCGTTTTCCCTCTTCTCTCTCACTTCTCTTCTAGTCTTCTAGGTTACTTCCAGCCGACATTGATTTTTGATCGTTTTCATCATTGATTTTCAATTTTCATCGACGTCGATCAATAGCAAGCGGCGAGCCTGCGTGCGACGACTAGCGACCAGCAACAGCAAGCAGCGACCCTTCTTTCTTCAATCGATCGACGACCCCTTCATTGATTTTCATACCTCGCACAAGAAACAATCACAGGTCTGACTTTTTTGAAATTGATAATGGACCTCTTCTGAGAATCGATCGCATCTTTCTTTCTCTCTATTTTTTCTTGAAATTGATCATAGGTCTTATTGTTTGTACTGTTAATCTGATTTTTTGGTAATTTCTTTGTACTGTTAATCTGATTTTGTGGTAATTTGTATTCTTGAAATTGATTTCTGATTAGCTGATTTTGAATTTGAGCTTATGTGAACTTTTAGAATATGACTCTTTTGCTAATCTGTGCTCTTGAAACTGTTTGTACGTTTTTTATGTCAGTTTTTTGAGATGGGAAGACATGAACCATCAGGGCCTTGGATATAATATAAAAGAGTTGGTCAACTGGTCCCCTCTTGATTCATAAATTTCTTTGCAAGCTAATATAGGGTAGTATTTGGTATGATGGAGTTAAGGAGGGAATGAAACATGAATGAGAAATTTTAAAGATTGACTTTTGATTTGTTGTTTTAGTTAAGTAATTAGTACTTTGGAAAATTGTACCACATTGTAGCAATGTACTTTTTTGGTATAATATTGGCATATTGCATTCTTTTACGCCACCGCTGTACACTACATCTTTTTAAGCGAATCTCTAGACTAAAACATACTTATTTAGTGTAGTGAACTTTGTCTTGTGTTGTAGGTGGTTAAAATTAATCATTATCGAAACAAAAGGCAAATGAAGTTTTGAGATTAAAAGTTAAGTATATTGCTTTAAGTATTATAAAAAAAATGCATTGTTATAATAAACTAAACTACATTGCTTTTATTGTTTAAGTATTGAATTGTGTTACAATTTTTTGGGTTGATAGGTTGTGTGCAGAAGTTTCTACCATGAAACAACAACAACATTGAAAGAACAAATGGAAATGGTTATGTGGATGTTGAATATGTCTGGAAATCAACCCGATGCTCCCCCCGATAATCCACCTTAGGACAATTGATAAGTATTTTGGAACAATTAAATTTGTAAACACTTGATATTGTTTGTTTGTTTTGTTAGTGCTTACTTTTGTATGATATTTTGGAAAATTGAATGAAATGTGTCAAACTTTGTATTAGGGACGTTTTTTGATGTATTTTATATGGTTTTTGGGACAAATCTGAATTGAATGTGGTATTTGACAAAAAAAAATTGGAAGATTTTAAATTAATTTTTTTTAATAAAAACGAAGCTAGCTACGGAGTTCCGTAGATATTTAGGTCCGTAGTTATTCCGTAGCTATGTGCATCCGTAGCTATTCCGTAGCTATTTAGCTCCGTAGCGATTCCGTAGGAATTCTGTAGCTATTTATTTCCGTAGCTATGGTAGCTACGGAATTTTCCGTAGTTATTCTGTAGCGGTTCCGTAGCTAATTCGTAGCTATAATTTAGCCACGAGCCATTATGCTACCGCCATTTTTCCGTAGTAATTCCATAGCTATCCGCTTATTGCTACATAATAGCTACAGATTGTGTCGTAGCTATTGATCAAGTTTTCTAGTAGTGATAGTCTAGAGGACCAAGATAATTATATTAACTTGTATCTTAATTAGTTTATGTCCATAACTATTAGGACTAGAGATGAACCAAATCATAGGGTTAGGTGATATGATTGTGAATTTAAATGTGTAAGAGAATATTAGATATCCATGTTATGCTTCTATTGCTTTTCATGACCATTGTGATTAATCAATAGATCAATTCGTTTATAATTCGAATATTTAATTATTTATTTAGTTAGCTAATTGCATAATCATTATGCTAGTTGCTTTATAATTATTTGTATTCATTAATGGGACCAATATAACCAATCATTAAAAGCATTCGGTAATTAACTTGTCAAATCCATTGCACTTATAAAAAAATCAACTATAAGTAATTAAGGGGATTCAAAATCTAAATGAAAGTACTTTAAAACTATTATTTAAATCACGATTATTTGCTTTTGACTACTTTTGTTTAGTTGATAATTCAAGTTTAATTTATTTTAAACAAAACCTCCTTTTTTACTTTCGTGTTTCTAGTTTAATTAATTGCTTTGTTATCTAAATAAAATCATACTTATTCCCCTAATGTTCGATACTTGGTTTTACCACATATATACTCCTACACGATTATATACACTTCTTACTGTGTCCATATGTAAATAAGGGGATTCATAATCTAAATGGAAGTACTTTAAATCTACAATTTAAATCACCTTTGCTTTTGATTGCTTTTGTTTAGTTGGTAATTCAGGTTTAATTTATTTTAAACAAATCCCCCTTTTTTACTTTCTTGTTTCTAGTTTAATTAATTGCTTTACTATCTAAATAAAATCATACTTGTTTCCCTAGTGTTCGATACCTAATTTTACTACATATATATCGTTATACGATTAGGTACACTGTTTACTATGTGTTTTAGTCCGGTAGAGAATAAACCTTTCTCAACCGGTTTTATAAATTTCAAACTTATATAAATATTTACTATATAAAACCACACTTGATATTTTAAACCCTAAATATTATTTAAATGGAAAAATAGCTATATATTTTGTTCTCCTCCATGATACAATAGTATATCACACATCCAAAAACGACTTATGAAGAAGAATGAAGTAATTATTAGAACCAGGTAGTTAAAAACCCTTTTCAATAATTTTTTAAATAAAATAAAAAGGGATGAATAACAAAAGTGGTTAAGTGAGTTTTTAGCTATCTCATATAGACTATAGTAGGAGAAGGAAAAGGAAGTATATTTATAAGTAGAAAGACTTTTAATCCTTGTTGGACTTATGGAATCATCTCTCTCTCTCTCCCTCTCTCTCTCATGGGAGTGGAAATGAATGCAAAGAAAATTTGGCTGATTTCACTAAACTTAAGTATGAACGTGTCTTGTAGATATAACCACCACCACATATACATGGGCTTTTTAGCAAATATTTTTTTTAACTCCACATATACATGGGCTTTTTAGCAAATATTTTTTTTAACTGGGAATTTATCAGTTACAAAACTTGCATTAAACACAATATTAACCACATATTGTTGATTTCATTGTCAATCAAATCCATATTTTGTCCATTACTAAATTTATTACAAAATGACGGTTATAGTTGTGTCTTAGTATACATATTGTTGTCTATAGATTGAGAGAGGCAGAATACAAAAGAAACATCTCATCTTTTATTTATTTATTTTTATTTTTGAATTTTCTTGATAAGTTCAAGGTATAATTACGGCTTTGCTATGTTCGGGAGGTCAACAAGTACTGCTTTTAGTTGTTGTATTCTGAAAAACAATCGTCTAATTGCAGTCAAATTTGATTTAAGAACAGTGTATTAAACACATGCCGCATCAATTTCTTATTTTTATTGTTGTCGTACATTTCCTTGATACTTTCCGTACAGAGTTTAGTGATAGTACGCTCGACAGACAGCCTTTTGGCAACACTGAGAGACTGGTTGATTTGTTGATCATCTTTCTCTCCCTTTGCTTGTGTGTATATGTATGTTTTACAGATGGTGAATATTGATCAGTAGTTTTAGGCCGAAGCTCAATGCCCTCCACGATAAGACCATGCTTCCGGTTTAAACGCTTAACCTACTCAAACGCCATCTCAATTTCACCAACATCTCCTTCATTGTACTCAAATTCTCCCAACTTGATCTCCATCCACCCATCCTTTCTCCTATGAGGAAACACATCATTTTCTTGCCATTTTTCACTACCGTCTGGTCTTTGGAGATACACATTTTCGGTCTCCATTTTTATCCCACCAAACCTCACCATTGTTTTAGCCGGCACAGAAAGTCCTTCAGAATTGCTAGTAGTTCGAAAGACAAGGTATGCTACATATGTAGTGTATGGTGACAACATTACAGATGCTATTTTGCCATGAATGCTAAGCCAGCATACACTTTTAAGTATACAAACCTCCGAAAACCTACACAATATATATATATATATATATATATATATATATATATATATATATATATATATATATATATATAGTCAAGATCAAATAAGAAGGAAATTTTTGGTAGAAATGTAGGAAATTTTTTATATACATATTTTCTTAGGAAAAAAATGAAATGAATCATTAGATGATTCAAAAGTAAGATGATTCACAAGAAAAAAATCCGGAAAAAACACTTTTATGATTCATTTTTAGGTAAATCAAGAAAAAAAAATTCACTTTTATGACAATTTTAGTGAATATCAACAAAATCATCGTAAAAGTGAATCATCGAAATATTTTTTCGGGATTTTTTTTTTGTGAATCATGTTATTATTGATTCATCTAATGATTCATTTATTTTGTTCGCCAAAAAAATAAGCCGAAAAAAAATTTCTTACGTTCCTACCAAAAAAAATTTCTTACCGGATCTATACCCTATATATATATATATATATATAGTTTAGCTTGTTAAGGTTAATATGTGCTTGTTATTGTACAAAAATGATATTAAAAGGGACAAAAGAGACCTTGATTTAAGTGTATGTCCCCAATCCCAGTACCGAGGTTCATCTTGCCAATCAATTAAGAGCTCCTTTGCACCTAACATATAGGACTTTTTCCCGGTTTCATATCTAGCTGGAAGCTCTGTTTATGGGATTATGTGAGACCAAATCTTAGTTAGTAGAACAATCCCCTCATCTTGCATGGTAACATTAGATTTAAAAATTCCCAATGGTTATATAGAGGTAGTTAACAAGGATGAAGGAAACATGGTATCACAAGGATGATAGATTTACCACGTAGCCTCGATCAAGGAGGATATGTGAGTCTGATAGGCAGAAGTAGAGTTCCCTTTTAGAGGCAAAACCCAGAGGAGAAACCGCCCTTTCAATAATTTCTTGGTAATCCGGTGACAGGAGCCCTTTCCAAAAGGCCTAAAAGGGCTCAGAATATGCCGCGGAGTCCAATCCACTAAGCTGCAGTGGAAAACAATAAAAAGAATGTTGGTTCCCATGAATGTTTAAAATTGAGAAAATCGCATAGATATCCTCCTCAACTACCTCACGAGTGACATTTATTTTCTTGAAAAAAATGATAAATATAGTAGTTTTTGTTAAATTTTTTCCTAAGTTTATAGTCTTTTGCTTTATCTAGTAATTGAAAAAATGTTAGTGGCTAATAATAAGTCAACACACTATGCTTGGTAATAGCAACAACCAATTTTTAATTCATGACCAACTTTTTGGGTTCACTGGTTTGTACTTATTCATGGATCCAGGCTGGAGCCTCTCTCAAATGTTTATAAAAAAATGGAAATTGAATTTACTTGAATACATGTTGCTAGAATGTGTTTATGGAGGAAAGATAAGAGGTTTTAGTTTCGAGAATGTATTGTCATAAAAAAAAAAAGATTATAAATACAAAAATGGAATAATATGTCATATATGATAAGCATTAAAGTTTTCATTCTTGCTATGAAAATACGTTTCCTAAAAAATACTATGAAACAAAAGACTTACTTGAATATTCAATGCTTCGTCAATAGTCTTGATGATCCTATTAACCGTCGGGCGTTTCCTAAAATCAAAGTTAATGCACTCATGTGCAATTTCATTAAATTTATCAAAAGATCTCATATGAATCAGATCTTTGATAGTGGGATCTATTAACTTGTCAAGTCCATCAACGAGTTTATGGTGGTCATAGTAGCTTCGAACGAGGTCGATCAGATACAGTTCCTTATCTTCAAAGTGCCTTGCATTATAAGCCATCATCCCACTTGACATTTCAAACATTACCACTACAAATGAGTATATGCCGGACTCCTTAGAGAGCATATGTCTTTCGTTGTATATCGGATCCATGTAAAAACCTTGTACCAGCAGCTCTCGTACGGACATGGGTATCTTGCTGATTTCTTGGACTTAATCTTGACAAACCAAAATCACATATTTTGGCTTCCAGATTATCATCTAACAAAATATTTGCGATCTTCAAATCTCTATGAATTACTCTGCTGTCGTCCCCAACACCCGAGTGAAGGTACTTTAGTCCGTATGCTGCCCCCTAAGCATATCTTCAGGCGTTGTTCCCATGTTACGCAACGCCTCTTATTTGGGTCTCGGAGGTGATAATCAAGACATCTGTTTGTAGCATACTTGTAAACTATAATCTTCTCTTTTTCATCATCACAGTAGCCAACGAATGGGATGATGTTTGTATGGTTGAAACTTGAAACCAACTTAACTTCATTATGGAACTCTTTGTTTCCTTGATGAAGAGTACAATCAAGGCGTTCGATGGCTACTAGCTGGTTAGTGGCCCATTTGCATTGCTAGTATGGTCCAAATCAAACATATGCTTGATGGGCTAACATGTCCATAAGCATACTCGACAGCCTATAAATAACACACATGATTAGTGGTCCACATCGTCCTTTTTCGTATGTTATAGGCTTTATTCTATACTATGTAAACATCAAACGGGTTGTAATCAATGTTATTCAAATTCATGGGGTAATAATTACGATTTAGTGAGAAATTATCGGTTGACACCAATATGTGTCGGCCGTAGTCTGTAAGTTGTAACCAGAGTCTTTTAAAGGGAGAGCGAGAGTTTGTGTATAGATCTATACGAGAGTGACTCCCCCACACATGAGTTGTTCGCTACAGTTAGACTCAGCCAGTCTAGGGTGACAAAATCTTAATAAAACACGACATTTGTAAAAATGCCAAGACAGGCGAAATAGTCATTATCATGCATGGTTATAATGACTCACATAGAGATCCATTACCATTTCATCAATCATGGGAAATCAACTTCATACATGGTGGCTATTCAATGTGGTTAATGCGATAATACAGAAACCATACTATTGTTTTGAATCGGAAAATATCGGATTTTCCGGGGAATTTATATCATTTATTTAACACATCAAATACAATAAAACGAACATTTTTGGTAAAGTCATACAATTATACATGTTCTAAAAGCACGTATACATTTACCCATACTGGATCATCACATCATATATAAACAGATTTTATTTCGGAAAATATTGGATTTTATGGGTTATACAACGATACAAAACATTTTTATATCAAACATGCTTATGAACTCATCAACATTATATATGTTGACCCGTTTTCAAATAACTTGTATTTTTAGGTAATAGATAAACAGAAGAAAACCGTCAAGTGTATTAGGCTTTCATGTTTTGTGACATTCAAATGAATATGCGTTTTAATTATGTAATATTTGTTGAATGTACTTGATGTGAACTATGTAAGTTGTACTATGTAATGTTGGTGATGTATGTGTTTGATTCATGTATATTCATTGTAATGGTATTTAATTGTTCGTCACGCAAGCCCTCGGACGTTTTCGTCGTTCGGTTCGAGGGTGTGAAATTTCAAGAAAGTAATCATTGTGAGGTTGAAAGCACTTCTTAACAAAGATTCTTTTGTTTTGGGAGCTTAAGTGAGGTGTAATATTGTATGT